GCCACGCGAGCTCGTGGTTAACAAAACTTTGTCACTTGAAGTTGCTAGAAAAGGGAATTTAAGAAAAAAGTGTAGAAAATATCAAATTTTATTTCGCATTTAACAAAAGTAATGTTCATTGTAAATTTCAGTCAAGAATGAATTACAGTATAAGAATATCACTCAGATATATCACAGTAATCAACTATACACTGTACTGATCATCGGAACACAGAACAAACATCATTCTGGAATCATTATGTCGTTGTTCTTACAAGTATATAGTAAATGTAAATGTTGCAATACTGGACAATGTAACAAAAAACTGGTATAATTTAAAAATAAAACAAAATTAAAAAAATACAAAAACAATCAAGAAACAAACTTCAGATAATGGACCCCTCCCTTCTCTCGCCAACAATGTTGGGAACAAACAATACATGTACTAGTCAGAAAGTAGGGTTAGTAAAGCACATGTACAAATAATGAACAACTATTGGCGTTCAGTGCTTTGGATTCTTTATTACAGACAGATTGCTATCTATAATTGCTTTCTTCTTTACATCATTAGAACAGATAATACTGCAAAGCCGCTAATTTTACTGATTATTTTACTTCAGTCCTATATACGATTGTATTGACTCTGTATAGACATTAATAGATATGTTTCTAATGATAGTGTTGTAAATTTTACATAATTTTAGCCCAAACCGTGAAATCCAAATTAACAACATGACAAAGTTTAGCTAGTTTTAGATAATTATTCTTAACACATGTGTGGGAATAATGAAGAGGTAAAATAATGAACAGCGGTTGATCTCGAAAAATCTAAAATCAAATACATGTATTACAAATATGTGAGGAGGGCATAGCTCACATGGACCCCTGGAAATTCCCGAGGTGGGATCGGATGCCTTGGAGGGGTAAGTATCCCCTGAGTACCGGTAAGTCATATCCGACGTTAGGCCTATGGAACATTGCATAGTCAAATCTTTCATAAAACAAGGGCCTAACATTTAGTATGATACAAGTCCGACAAAAATGACCCTTGATAGAATGTATCTGCAAACAAGAAAAGTGAAACAACACAAATTGAAAGAAAATGATATAAACAATAATTAAAATACAACTATTTGTGAGATCAAAACTGATATATGGTTATTCTTTGGTAGAAAATTGCGTTTCTATTACGCTTTATGCATCGCTTTTCTCAACAGATATCTAAACCTGTTAAACCTGATAGTTTACACTAATTCTTCCATGATTTACTGCAATTTTTCCTTGGTGCTCCATCCTGTTAGTTTAAGACTTAACAAGTATTTATATAGAACGTCATTCCACGCACAAAGCGGAAGCCAAAATATGGCATACTCCAGCGTTATTAATCCCATGATATTAAATCTGTAGTGGCTATAATCCCAAGAACATGCATCAAATTGCCTCAAAATAAGTCCGCACGCAAATTCCCAGGAATACAATACAGCTAGGTAAATAAAAATTCGAATTTTGAATGGAACTCCATTTTCCTTCAATCTCACATACATGCGTTCAACAAGGTAGCTGCATACGCCATATATAAAAAAGGAGAATATTGTTGAATATCCCTTCAATTGCCTGTTTCCTTCCGGTTCGTAAATGACGTCATAAAGAGCAGTGAACACAATTTCGTCAAACAGACCATGCATGCCGTAGAAAAACAAACGTTCAGCAGACGTCAATCCTCGACCGGATTCTACAGCGTCCATCTATGAAAATCAAAGAAAAAAAACGAAATTATTTGATATTTATTTCATTTTGGAAAACTTAGTAACTGATCATGAAAAAGGTGTTTATTGCGCAAAAAAGCGCGACGTTTTCGCATTTTTTTTCTCAGATTGCCATTTCAAAGTCTCACTAATCATGTGTTCCTTTCTTTTACTACTTCCGAAACGAAACCTTTCTAAAACCCCTTGTATACATGGGACTGAAATTGAGACCATTGAAAATTCGCCATTTTATACCGCCATATTAGGTGGCAAGCATCGTCGCAAACCACGGCCAAAATGTACGCTCCTCTCCCATTCTGGAGAGAGCTATATATGCGGACTCCGGACCGTGGCTTGAGACGATGGGTGGCAAGATACAATACATGTATGTTATTCGGTCCAGTGCACTTCGATCGTGCATGATTTGGGAAGTAGTAAAAGAAAATGTTAGAAATACAGGGTCAGTAATATTTTGAAATATACGATTAAAGAATAATCAAGAAACAGTGTACTTTTTTGCGCAAAAAATACACACTTTAGTTTGTCAATTTTTGACACTGTAGCTCTCTGGTCATCCATTCCAATTTTTTCAGACCAGCGAGCTACAGATCTGCCGCTAATTTACAACAACTCCATGAACTCTGTAGACTTGATCATGGATTGATCGTGTTACTTGAAAATTTATTGATTGACGAGACCTCTTCAGGATAAATTTACATAATTCTGTTAATTAGAAATTCTATTGTATAGTATCCTAGAAAATTTGCCAAGGGAATTAACCTACCGAATGTTTGAAGTTTAAATAAAAAAATCAGGGGGACCCCATGCTCTCCCCACTAAAGTGTACTTAGTAATTCCCTAATAATTTTGTCGATATATAGAATACTATAGTAAACCATAGTAAACAAAGCTAGTATTCTGCTTGTGTTCCCTCAATGAAAACGTCTGATTACCTTTCTTTCGGTTTTTTTTTTTTTTTTTTTTTGTTTGTCGAGGAATACCCCCGGTATTAGGTAGTTGATAGCGCCCTCCACTAAAAATGTATGGCTGAGCCCCTCCCAAAATGAAATTTATTGCTTCCTCCGGGCCTACAATTGATATATATTATACGATTTCAAATTGGTGTATGTGTGTTCGTGTTTGTGTGTGTGGGGAAGGACCGGTCAATCTCCACGTCGCACAGTGGAGATTCGAACCCGCGACGTAAGGATGCGACTCTAAAGCAGATGCTTTAACCACTGCACGCAACACTGGCGACTTTTACTTAGGTGAAATCTGAATCTTTACAGGTCAAGCATTTCATAAACAGACAGAATATTTTAATTTGCAAATTTGGAACAACGCTGTATAATCAATTACATTGTACATGCACTAGTATCTCTTTACAACTCATGAATAAATGATTAATTTTGCTTAGATATAGATCAATATACATCCTGGATGAGCGTATATGCATGATAAATACAGGATTTTTGACATGCATACATGTATGTTTCACACACATTTGTGATTATTTGACTTGTGTATAATGGAATGACCTTAAGCTTGTTCATATATGTTACAAATACACCCAACTTTGTCACTTAAATTCAGTACTCACAGAGTTAGATATTAAGTTAATCATGTAAACAGAATAATGTCAGATCATCTTTTTTCAGATATACACGTATTTGCAAGTGGTGATTTTTTTTTTAGATTCTATACATCCTTAATATTGACCATGCAGAACAGCATATGACAAGTTCAAAAATAAAATAGCATTGTGAGATACATGTATGAGATACATTGATGGGAAAATTATTTTTTTTATTATTTTTTTGATAATCATTATGATACATGTATACATGTCAACCTTTGATGTGTTTAATAAAAATGTTAAATTGACATTAGATTACTGGTGTTGTTTGGTGGGGGTACATTAGGGATGGGTATCACCAAAAATTTCGTATCGCGATATATCACGATTTTTTCTTATAATATCACGATAAAATAATATTTTCAAAAGCAGTTTTTACAATGATTTTTTATGAAAAGTCACTATTTTTCTAAAAACTACATGTATGCTAGAGAAACATTTTACTTTCTTGAAATTTTTATGTATATATTAAAATCAATTATGTTTGGACGGTAAGATGCCAGCCGTTCTTTTCATTTTTTACAACATTTTTTATACTTTCTGTAATTGTAAATTGAAAGATTGAACAAATAAATGAATAATTTTTGGACTTTATAATATGTACCTAAAGACCGGTATTTAGGTCTCCGTATCACGATACGTATCACGCAACAAAAAATCGCGATATACCAGTACAGTGTATACCGATAAAATCGCACATCCCTACTTTACATAGTGCCAAAGAAAAATATTTTCTCTGTTCATCGTGTTTAAATATAAAAACTCTAAAATATTTAAAAAAAATAAGACAATAATTGGATACAACAAACTTTAAAAATGTAATATTGATACATTTCCAAATTACTTTAAATAAAACAGCACAATTTTATTATGAAAAAATAAATAAATAAAAAGACAAAGTAAGTAAACAGAAGATGTGCACAGTCATGATTTCTAGATTGACATGCATTACCACATGGACAGTTATCTGTGAAGATTCTGGTTCACGCTGGTGGGAATTTTCTCAAATTGATAATTCGCATAATGTCTATAGTGTATATATTTACATGGTGTAGCCCGAATCCATTAAATGTCTTATGATACTTGAGTTATGCATAATTGTATATATATGCAATTTAACTGCTTGAAAGTAAGTATATTGAAAGAAAATGACCCCCTCCCAATCCTGACATTACAATTTTTGCTAATGTCGATCAGCTGATTGCTCGCTTCAAAGCATGCAAAATATACACTTCTTCCGGGATGAAATATATTAGGATTTTACTTTACCGCAAACAAGATATTTAGTTAAGACGAAATAATAATAATTTATTATATCTAATCTAAATAAATAATATTTATTGACCATGTGTTAATAATGCCTACCTTGCAATTTTTACACCTTGCAAAATACACAAAGTTTACATTAGTTTCAAGTCAAAGGTCGTTGTTAAAATTATGGCATTGCGTGCCCGACGTTGAGTTCAGTTTCGACATTTTTGTTATTTCTGCAGATGTCATAAATTAATTTACCAATAAAATAAACAATAACTGTATGATTTAATATTTTGTATAAAACAAATAATTCAACAATTATGTGAAATTGTTAAATTCTAAAGTATCAAATACATCGGGATCAGGAGTACTAATATACAAATTCCGTGAAACATGTCAGCGCCTATGTAAAACAACGCAGTGTTTGAAAAACGTGTTCTGTTGAAAATCTAAAGCCAAACCATGGCGAAAATCAGTGCATCGGAACAAAAAATGTTGACGCTTCAACATCAGATAAAAGAAAACAATTTGGATATTGAATCCTTCGTCAAAGACATGAATAAATGGGAGGACAACATTAAAGAAAAAGAAAGAAAATTGATAAGTGAAAAATCAGTGAATGGAAAGGTTTGTTGATTGTATTTTTGCTATTGCTCTCTTAGAAAAAACTGTCAATCACATTTTCCAACAAATATTACATTTTCGTACTGGAATCAAAGTAGTAGGCCTAGCACATTTACATGAACATGATGTAGGTAGAAATAGTCTTTAGACTGGACCTGTTTAATAATGATCTGCTGATGACATTTGGTTATGGAGAAAAAAATTAAATATTACAGTGTGTGCAATAAACATTTTAAATGTCAATAAAGCTTGAATGATATTTCTTTTTTTTTTTTATTTTGCAAGGATCTGCCACCAGTCAGAAACAGTTTGAAAATAAAGAAGAAAAAGAAAGTCAAACCACAGAAAGACGATGACAGTCAGGGAAGAAAGCCTCGGAAGAGAATCAGCGGTTACGACTACCGCTCCTGGGATAAACTAGACATTGTAAGTTGATTGTTGGATTGCAATAAAATTTATAAGACAAAATATTGAGGAAGCCATGTATTACTTAGTTTGAAATTCGTCAACTTTTGAAATGCTTTTAAGTTTAGTGGATTTGAAATAAATGTCTCTGCATGATTCTATTTAATTCCAATGTTAAAATTGTCATCTCTCATTTTCAAATCTTTGATTAACAACAGAAAATTCATGTTACTCATCCTCACACACATAACTGATTTACTCAATTCGTAGGATAAGATGTGTGATGATGTAGATAAGACAGAGAAGTCCGACTCGTCTGAGTATGAGACAGATGAAGAATGGGAGGCAGAGAGAAAAAAACAGCAAGCTGCCATGGAGAAAGATGCAGTAAGACTTTTCTTAGTCTTCTTCATTCCAAACGTTAACGAGATATTTATAGTAAATTATATGTAACTCATCCTTTCTCTAGGGAAATGACTACTTCAAGAGAGGGGACTACACAAATGCCATTGAATCGTATACAAAAGGGATGGAATTGGACCCTACTAATCCTATATTACCAGCCAACAGAGCTATGGCCCTGCTTAAAGAACAGAAGTTAGTATTCGACTCTGCAACTGGTCAGGACTTATATTATAAAGCACAAGTCAAAACTTGTATATTGCACTAAAATGATTAAAAGCCCTTTTCACAAAAGTAGAGATAAAGCATGCCCATCTTTGATAAGAATAAGCACATACATATTAAAAGCCTTGCTTAAGGTATGCAAGTTGTAAAAATCTGCCACCAAGTGAAAATAAAGAAGAAAAAGAAAGTCAAACCACAGAAAGACGATTAGGTATCTGACTAATACAAAAGTAAACAGGCATACCTGGAATATGCCTGTTGTTATATGTGCATATATTGTACCCATACATGTTAACTCTCCCGATTTAGGCGGGAGTCTACCGCTTTTTCACTCCATCTCCCGCCTACCGATTTAATTCAGAAATCTACCGCTTTTCTACAAAAGCTGCGTCTACAGTATTTTTGGTTCGCTTGGGTATCCATTTTTGAAGCCACTCTCATAAAATCTCGCTAGATATCGCGTGATTTGACTCGGAATCATACAAACGCTTTTTTTGTACATAGATTTCAAGCACGGATTTGACAAGGACAACAACACAAGACTACCAGTGATTACATTGGTTACGATAAATTAATCAACATCCCTGCCATGAAAAAGGAGATACAGTTTTTAAGAATTAGATGAAAACATTTGACATCGTCTTTAAAAGCACAGAAGCTCACAACTTTATCAATAAAGTCAATAGAAATCACTCGATTGACCAAGCCATGTGGCACATCTCTACTTTCGTTTTCGATATCGCGGGAAATCTGATTTATATAACGAAAGATAGGAACTTGTTTTAGATCTAGATTAAACCATGTCATCATTTGTTTTGTTAAAAAAAAGAAAAAACATTCAGAATTATTGCTTCTAGCTATATCGGCAAAGATCACTCTTCAAAAGGCTAAGTAAAGCAGCCAATCCAAGCAAAATGATGAGCATGAAAAATATTTGAATTTGTACAATTTATGTCAAACTTAAGGTGTTTCTGTCTTCTTCTTTGCTGTTGATATTTAAGATTAATTAGTGTAGGTACCTGATTTCATTTAAGGCTTATAATATACATGTATATTACATGAAAGATATCGATAATCCAAGCGTTAAACAACACGCGCGAATGCTACCGCTTTTGAGGTCTGAATCTCCCTATTTTTCATCACAATAGGTTAACATGTATGTTGTACCTCTATTTAATTATAAACAAAATTAAGGTATAGAGAAATGCACAGCAATGTCCTATCTGTAATAAAACTTCCTCTGGCATTTTAAAACTAATGAAAACATATATATTCAATCTATGTTTGGCTTTAAAACAAGCAAGTAACTTTTTCTGTTAAGATGGTTATATAATTATATAAGCACACTTATGTATTTTAAATATTCTTTGATAGCCTAAAAGATGAGTTGATATAATGCATATGCTTTATAAGTAATTTTTTTTAGTAGACTGTAATATCCTATACATAGGTATGCAGCTGCTGAGGTTGACTGTATAACAGCCTTGACCTTGGACCCTTTATATGTGAAAGCTTATCTGAGGCTGGGCTCGGCTCAATTCTGCATGAAGAAATTCAACAAAGCAAAAGACACGTTCGAAAAAGTCCTTCAGCTCGAACCGCAGAACAAACAGGCAAAGTTTGAGATTGAAAAAATTGAAAAGGTACTGTTTTTTTCATATAGGTATATTTTTTATCAATTAGTTTTGACATTTAAATAAAAGAAATACTGGAGGTTCCTTACTTTTTGCTGGAAATTTATTATAATTACCTAAATTTGCAGGAAGCACCATGCACAAAGTAAAAATTCTGTTATTTTCAAAGTGCTGAAACACATGTATAACAATCTTAATTAACTGTCCATTTACTAATCCATTCATTTATAAGCCATGTTATGATTTGTGCACTCAAGTAAAATTAGGAAATTTAATCTACAGTACTTGCTCTTATTACTAAAACCAGTTACAAGTTTTCCGTAATAGTTTGCAATTAAAGCGTGATTTCTCTTGTAAAAGAGAATTAAATGGTTACATAAATTGGGCAAATGAATTTGCATGTTATATACATGCAGGCGTGTAGCATCGTTTTTGAAAGTGGGGGGGCCAGCCAGAGAAAATTTTTTTTACTTACCTGAAAAAGTTGACAAGCAAAAAAAAAAAAGGGGGGGGGGGGGGGGGGGGGGGGGGGGGAATTGCCAGTTCCTACAAGTTTTTTCCAGTGTCATACTTTGCAATTCTAATACTATACATTTTCGCATTTTCGGTACATCACTAAAAGTGGGGGGGGGGGGCAACCAGGCTTCCAATTAACATTTCCTATTGTCTAAGTATGGTTGGTGAATTTGCATGTTATATACATGTACATGTACTTGTATCTCTATTAAAAATCTGTTTCTTTTTTCTTCTTTATATTTAAGTGCTGTTTACTATAATTTCATTTATCTCATTATGAAATGTGCAAAGAGGCATCTAAAATCTAATGAACATTTTTTAAATTCTGTTAAAAACTAATTGTTCACACACTTACAGGAGATGAAGAAAGAACAGATGGTCACTCATGACAGTTTAGGGCCCGATGTAGGCCTTGTTAAACCAGTTACAAAACCGGTCAATAAAAGGTCAAAGGTGAGATTTTTAATTATTATACATTTATAATTTTTTATTGTATGAAATGCAAGCTTAATATGAGACCTGTTTTGAAATAATTCAGTCATTTACATTTTCTCCATAAAGGAAAGAGAAAATTCATGAAAATTTGTCAACAATTTATCAAATATACATGTGTAAATTTTTTTGTAATAGGATAATAATTCTTCCAGGTAAGAAAATGCCAGGAAAAGCATCACTATATAATTTGAAACTCTCATCAGTCAAAGATATTTCTCCTGTTAAAACTACTCTGTATTGGGAAGCGTTAACTCCCCTTCCTGTCATTGCATAGAAAATTCTAGAAATCAAACTTTTTTTTTTCTTAAAAAATTTTTTAAATAAATGGATGTTTTATGTAACCCTAGTGTAAAATTACTTGAAGTATTATATACTGGTCAACTAAGCAAAGATATCTAATTTTGAGAGTTGCCAACTTACTTGTAAGAATTTTTTAAACAATCGAAGCATTAAAGTTTCCAAGCCTTCATCTATGTACAAGTTAGAGGTTTAAAAAAAAACTGCATTTACACATAACATTCAATGGAAATCATATTCTGACATAATTTTTCATTTCTTTAGCAAAACACCATCATTATTGATAAATATTATATAAGTGACTTTATAATTTCAGAAACCATTGAGGAGGTTAGAGATTGAAGAAGTGGGTATTGAGGAGACAGATATTAGACAAGCAGCCAGATCAAGGGTTGAGGAAAGCCACAGTTCGCAGAGGAAAGAAACGGAATCCAAAGACAATCAAATGTTTACTAAATTCACAAGTCCTGGCATGATAAATGCTGGATCCACCCAACACACTGTGCAAGAATCTACACCTGTGATAAATAGTGATAATTCATCTAAATCTCAGACTGACCAAAAGTTGGATTTATCAAGTGTTCAGAATGAGGCTAAAACATCCATAAGTCCCAGATCAGAAGGCAAATCTGTGTCACCCAGAAGCTTTTCTGTTCCAGCCTCCTCATTCCAATTTCAAGCTGATTACAAAGTGCTGAAGAATGACACCACTGCATTTTATAACTATTTGAAAGTAAAGACCAATTTTGTTATTAGGAAATAAATTCATTCAAAAGAATATGAATAAAAATCTTATGAAATGTAATGGATACTATTCAATATCTTATAAAGTGTAAAAGATACCATTACCAAAGTTTTGAATTGTATATTAAGCTCTATTTGCTATATGTAAATCATTTCACTGTTTATTTACTGTGTTGCAGAAGATAGACCCTTCCCTATACCCTAAGTTATTTGGAGAGTGTTTAGATGCAGAAATTTTGATGAAGATGTTATCAGTATTTCAAAACTGCTTCATACCGTAAGTTAAACATATGGTCCATATGTGTATAATTTCTTTTTTTTGTTTTGTAAAATATTGCTTGAAAATTTAAAAGAAAATCTGTATTTGAGTCAGAAAGACTTTTATTTAGCAAAAAAATTCACTAAACACACAGAGTATATATGTTCTTTTCTTGTTAAAATCAGGCCATAGTTTCTTCATGTTCCAGTGAATAATTCTTTTTTTCATAAACTTCACAAGCAATGTAATAACCTCTACTTTTAGTGCTGGAGAAGATTATTTCCCTCACATGAGTAAACTGACAGAAGTGAAAAGGTTTGGCATGACGGTTATGTTTTTCTCAAGGAAAGAAAAACAAGGTAAAATATACTAGTAAATTTTCACACATACAATTTTATATATCACATGTTTATGTATACGAGGAATGTGAACACTAATGGTTAACAAAAATACAATGTTCAATTCGTAAATAGTTGATCTGGTGGCTTGTAGAAATTCATCAAGAATTGTATATATCTTTATTTAAAATTTAAAATTGAATTTAAAATACATGTACAATAGATAATTAATCTCTTAATTTTTCATAAATGGTATCTTCAAAGATTAGGTAATTCCCTGGAGTTGTTTCTTGGTGGAATTATTCATTTGATTCTCTAACTTTTAATTGCAGTGTTGCAGCATTTGTTGGACAATCTAAAAGAGAAAGGAAAAGTTTCAGAAAAAGACATGAAGCACCTTAAAACAAAGTACGAGATGAGCTGACAAATCACAGAACAGAATTCATCTATTTTGTGCTTTTTTTCACCTGGAAATAAAGTATATTGATCGTAAATTTCTTACTGTTATTCAGACATATGGTGACAAAATGAAGTTTTATTTTGAAACACGTACTGTTTAAAGTGATCTATGTTTGTAAAATATGCTATATATGTAGATAAAAAAAATTTAAGAACTAAAACGTTTTTGTCAATTTTTATGATGTGTCAAGTTGTATTTTACGTGTGTGTGTAGAGAGAGATTTTTAAAACTACAATCAAATCATTACTACCTGTTATCAGGTATAATGGGTGTATAACTGAATGCAGTGCTTGCATTGGATGTAAGAGAGTTTTGTTCCACCCATCATTGCTAGCCAAGGGTTTTTTTTAATCCACTCCGCTCCCCATAAACCCCTGGCTAGCGTCGATGTGTACCACCTGAACAGAAAATTTTCGAACCCCTGCACTGGTTGACAAGTATGGGAAACTTTCTAGAGCCTACAAAAGCTGTAACGAGCCATTTTACCTGCACTGACTTGATGTCTACAGTTTTACGTTGTCTGCAGTGGCTCTTTAGTACATGAACATATGTAAGTCTTTCAATGTCTGTGTTTTTTGTACATATGTAATTCAATATTAGAGTACCACGAAGAATAGTTACTACTTATACAATTTAATGACTTCAACTTTTTTATATAGTTCTTTAAAAATCTTACCCTTTATATATATGGAAGCAGTAATATACCACTACACCTGTTTATATATAGGTGTTCTTTAAAAATCTTCTCCCATAATTAATTCATCATATTTATATGGAAGCATGAAGTGTAGATTCAAGTTAAATATGACTGCATATATATATTCTTTAAAAATCTTCTTCTTAAGAGACAAGCCATAATTGATCAAACAAGTTTTTGTAATACAGGGATATCAATAATCCAAAAATCTTCTTCTCAGAGTCAATATTTTGTTTATGCTAGATGTGACTAGTTTAATCAACTGAAAACAATTTATAATAGGAAAATTCAAAAATCATTTTCACAAAGATGGCAAAATTTTTCACAATAAAAAACCATTTTCAAAATTTTAATGTTAAATATTAGAGTACAGTAAAACTCGGTTATAGCAATTTGATATTAAAATTTCATTGAATATTACAAAAAAGCTGGCCTTTCTTTAAAATGTTTTTATTAAAAATATTAATATATATATATATATATATATATATATATATATATATATATATATATATATATATATATATATATATATATCCGTATTTTTATCATAAAAACATTTGTTAAGAATTTTGCCGGGGACCAAGAAAAACTTCGCTATATCCGTGAATTCGCTATATCTGTGTCCGTACTAAACGAGTTTTACTGTACCATGAAGAACAGTTACTACTTATACCATTTAATGACCTCAACTTTTCTATTGTTTTCCTATTGTCAACTTACCCTTTCTAAGTAGTAATATACCACTACACTTTTTTATATGGTGTTTATTGCTCCCTGTTGATTCAATACGCAAGAGAATGACCTTATAGCTGCATATAATATCTAAAAAGAGACAAGCTCTTGACAAACAAGTTTGTAATACATGGATATCAATGATCCAATTGAGAGTCAATATTTTGTTTATTCTAGATGTGACTAGTCCAATCAACTAAAAACAATTTATAACATACACATAGATGACAAAATTTTTATCTTCAAAATTTTAAGAAAATCAGTCGACAATTTGATATTAAAATTTCATTGAATATTACAAAAAAGCTGGCTTTTCTTTAAAATGTTTTTATTAAAAATACAATATGTATATATACGAGGGTTGATCCAAAAGTAATGTCACAGTGTCCATATCTTTTATATTTGGCGCCATATTACCAAATACAATATACTAAAAGATGCACAAATATAAATCTAATTACATGTAACATTGAAATTTTAATTTAATTATGTTTACTTCAATTTATTCTATAGATTTTTAAAACATAGAGAGTCAATATTTTTAAAGTGTTTTTTTCTTATGAAAAAGACAAACACATTAGAAAATTTTTTTTAAAAAGTACCTTATCTCCCATTTTTTTAAAAGACACAATCATTTTCTACTGAAAAAATTAAATGACAATTTATAAACATTGTTGTTTTACTCTCAGTGTTAAATTGAATGAACAAAGGGATTGTCGTAATGGGAAAAAACGGCTCGACGAGTTGTAATGCATTTTTGCATCATTATAAATTTCACAAGCGACAGTTACGAATTAATCAGACTTACAGAAAAAGAATGTAAATAAGAGATATCTTTCTTTAAGCAATTCTGTTTTTATTAAAAAACACAATATATATATATATATATATATATATATATATATATATATATATATATATATATATATATATATATATGAAGTGCGTATATATGACGTTATATTTAGGTGCACAATATCAACGCACATTGTTTAAATGCGATATTTTGGAAAGTATACATCATATTCCTTTAAAATTTTCAGGTCTGATTTGAAATAAATAAAGCTTCCATTATTTATAATTGTGTTGCTTTACGTCGATTTATAGCAATTTTATCAAAGTTGTGACATTACTTTTGGATCAACCCTCGTATATATATATATATCTAAATAATCACAATATCAATCGCCCGAAGAAGTTTTCTCTGATATTGTTAAGACACCTTTTTAGCTAAAGGAATAGAAAAACCATTAAAGCATATTTATATCTTACAATATCTGTAAAAAAAAAAAAAAAAAAAGAAACTAGCAAGCAAACGCAAACCAACAAAATAACTAGACCTGAATGAAGGTGTTCTCCAGTTTTGTAAGAAAATAGTATGATTTCATTATCTAATCATCATCATTGTTAGGTAAATTTGTGTTCTGTTAGCTACGTGTGGGGGCCAGGGTGAAAAATGAAAGGCATCTGAATTTAGACACGTTCTTCCGCAATAGTTGAACCACCATCCGCAAAACCCATATTCATAAACACATCGTCCGAACTTCCATTGATCATTGTCTCTGTCGATCGTGGAGAATTTCATTCCATTGATGTTTCAGGCTGCTGTCGAATCCCTCATACTATCTTCTGTATAAATCAAAGATGAGAGTAGATATCAAAATTAACTTAATATATCTTAAATTTTATTTTGTTCGAGAATGCTAGTAAATTAAAATATGTTTTATAATCACCACTACAAGGTAAAACTTGTAAAATGTAAATAATTAAACGTTTTGTGAAAAAGTGCTAAAGCATTGATCTTTTTTTTTTTTTAATTTCATAATTTAAAAAAACTTCATAAATATATAGAAATTGACTGCAGCACTATAAAGCAATCTTTTTCGGGAAAAATACAAAATATTTTAAGCGTAAATATCCCCCTAATTATAGTTTATAATTAAAAATAATGACCTTTATGATTTTTTTTCTTTTTTGTTTTGTTATTATCTTTTTTCTTTGTTCTTCAAACGAAAATTTATAAATGGATATATTTAAGAATTCAAAGAAAAGATCAACATTATAGAATGTAATCGTCTCTTTTTAACTTATCGACATTTCATGTTTTTTTTCTCTTAAATATACCAATCGTATAACATCAATTAGTTATTTATGATATTGAATACGTCTAATAATTTGCAAGTAATACCGGTGTATCACAAATAGTTTGCAATTTGATTTCAAGCCAATAGTCGATTAAACAATTGCACAGTGGGCCAAGTTAAAGCCTTTTGTTGATAGAAACTATTAAATATTTAAAAGATTAATTGCAGACATCAAACTGCATTCGTTAATAAGTAAGAAATTAATTTGTTGCACAAAAAGAGATTCAATTTCAAGCTTGAATATATCAAGAAATGAATTTTTTCGAGAAAAGTAGTGTAGTATGCAATCATTGAAAGCAAATTCATTTCATACAGGTTTAGATATCCCTTAAACAACAATTCTCATTCATTTTATCAAAGTCGTCCACGTGGTGCAGTGGTTAAAACGTCTGCTCTAGATTCGCGAAGTAAGGGTTGTTGAATCTCACTGTAGGACGTGGAGACCGGTCCTTCGGATGAGAGTGTATAATCCGAGGTCTCGAGTTTCTGGCACGAAAAAGATCCCTCCCTGCTCAATGGCCCTGAGTGCCAAGTACAGGACAAATTTTGCGGCTCTCCACCGGCAAGTGGTGGCGTCTTCATATGTATGAAAAATTCTCGTTAAACGTTAAACAACATACAAAAAAGAAAAACAACCAAAAAAAAAAACCAAACATTTTACCATATAAATGTTTTAATTAATTTGGAAAATAGCGACCTTACCCAGAGTTCCTTTAGCCTTTCCAGCAAGGTTAAGTCTGTAGCCATCAGCCTCATCAGTGATGTAGAACTGGTCATATCGTTCATATAGGGTTGTTCCATTAGTCAATGTTATGGCAATGTACAATGCAGTTTTGCTTTCTGCGGTCAATTTGTGAATAATTTCATTTCCTAAAATTGATTAATACATATCTATCTTTTTGTTTTTCCACTTTGACCTGTGTAATCTTTAAAAGACGCTGATCTGTTACTTACATAACATGGTATATCATGTGGTATTTTAATTTTTTGGTGCAAGCAAAGTCGTTCAAAAGATATTCACAAAAATATTTAAGGAATGTTTGTTGAATAAAAAAAAAGTATGAAATCAAGCTCTTATTTATAACACAATTTTAACTTCTATTTTAAATGAAAATAAAAGGGAGTAATCAAGAAGTTTCAAGACTGGTTCGATAAAATTATTCATTAATAATATACAAATTTAATTAATGGATTGTAAAACAATAATTAAAAATAATTAAATCAAAGAAGAACATTTTAGCTAATTATGTCTAGAATTGTCCAAATGATATTTGATTGAAAATCTCTATATTTCATTGAAGACTGTAATTTCACTTGGTGAATATAGGAGTTTAATGTGCTTTCTCTTTGTGCTTTAAGGAGGCTGGGGGTCAACAAATTAATCATAAATTAACCACCAGATTTAACTTATTTTTTTTAGATACGGTATCTTAAGCTGTTATCTATCATTTGGCAAAGAAAAATTCATATATTTTAGTTTTAAAATTTGATCATTTTTGTATATCTTTATGTGGAGCTCTTCTTT